TTATTCCGACAAATTCACACATATAACTAGAGTAAGTACGTGTGTGAATTTTCAATTCGATGTACGTATACACATTGCACATATTAGGTGAAATTGTGTAGAAAATGTCGTTAATTGAGAACAGAATTAATTGAGGATGAACATTAAGAAAAACATTAATCCTCGTTACTTTTAATTCTATTAAATTAATTTAAATTTTTATTTTACAAAAAATATATACATAAGAAAGAAAAAGAAGAATCTAACTGTTCTTGATTGACGATCTATTCTTGATTAATGTCGTAACGCATATTTAAATACTTGATGTTGCGAAACATCGCGACCGACAAAGCCTCTCGATCGAAATCGAGGAAGCGATAGAGGACAACTTCAAACGTATGGTTCGATGATAAAAAACGGGGACGTGCCGGAAAACTATTTAAAAAAGAATCAGACAGAAAGAGTGAAAAAAAAGAAACAAGAGAAACCGGCTGATTTACTTTTACTCAATTTTAATTGAACACATGCGTAAAACAATGAACACTTCATCCTCCGCCAACGGATATAAATGCGAGATTTAAAGTCGCCAATACGCACGAGTCATGTGTTTAAAAGAAGCAATTACCCTAAAAAGAATCGCGCGTAAGAGTTACTTACTAGGGTGTTTTCGTTGAAAGATAAAAGGATAAAAAAAAAAAGATAAAAATCCCAACGTATTTACGAGGTAGATAATAAAAACAACAATAATAATAAATAATAATAAATAATAATATTTAATTATGATAAAGTAATAATGATATAATAATAATATTATTAATATTAATATAATTATAAATTAGTTGCAGCTTTCTGTGTAAGGTTATTGTGATATTTAAAAAGAAAAAAAATAATAACTTTACCGTAGCGATATAAAATTAATTCAGAATTAAGAATCTGATATTTAGTGAGCAAATAAAAAAGAAAGAAATAACCAGTATGTCGACGGGGCTTTTGAGTGATGCCTCTCCGCGATCGATTCAATATGGTTACGTATAGAGAATGGATAAAGAAAAAAGAAAATACAGCGACCCGTGAGCGGCCGCGTCTCTCTCTCTCTTTTTTTTTCGTCACCTTCTTCACGGGCGAGGTTAGAACGACAATCTTAGGCCTCGTCAAAATACTGCCGGATACATAAGGACATTCCGAAAATCGGTCGCAAACTAACGCCAGCTGATTAGATTAAGCTATTTTTTTTTGCAGTCGAATTCGAATGCAAACAATTACAAAAAAAAGAAGGGCAAAGTAAAAGAAATAGACGGAGGAAACAGAAAAACGAAAAGATTTTGATCGAGCTGTTGCACGTATTAGTGCGAAAGAAATTCTTGCGATCTGCTTCGATTATTCGGAAAGTCCATTTTGCATCTGGATCAATCCGTCCATAATATGTCTCACGCTTGAGGCATTTGCACAAATCTGTGCATATTAATCATTGGGACTACAAAAACATATCATCATATGTAATGGTAATGATACCGTATACATATATATACATATGTATACATATATATGCACATATATATACATATATGTACATATACATATATATATATATATTTAAAAAATATTAAGCAATAAGATTTTATTTATATGCCCGTAGAAGAAAAAATTGAATGAACAACTGCATATCAACACGTGTGTCTGGGCAAGGATTAGCTTATACATGATATATATATATATATACACATATATATATATAATTAAAATATAAATATATATATGTATATTAATATATATACATATATATAGGTATATAATCTTTACTTCGTCGTTGTCAGGCGTTAATGTTAAACTTAATTATCATTAATTAATTATTAGATTGTGAAAGAATTTCTTCAGGTTCTAAGCAAGATTTGGAAATAATAAAACGAGTAAAATACATAGCTTCAAGTGGTTTTTTTACTAGTCCCCGCATCATTTATTATATGTTTTACTTTTTTATATTACTTTTCCTTTCTCTTTATTTCAAATATTTAATATCAATTGATAGGAACGTAAAATATTTTTGGCAAATTTTGTACACTAAGACAAAGTTGTAGTAAAGCTAAAAGATATCTATTGTATTTCAAACTTGTATTTCATACAAGTGGTTTCATGGTGGCGCTAGTGAGATTAGCGTTTCAGACCAATTTGGCGGTAAACCCGGTATAACCGAGTGATAGCTGAACGTAAATTATTTCATTAAATTTCGCATATATCTGAGTCAAAAATGGTTCATAAAACTAAAGAAGAATGTAATGATTTATTTGTGAAGCCGGGAAAAGAGATGCCAGAAGTATTTGAAAGGGAACAAGCTGATTATAAAGATCTTTCGAAAAAGTTTGTAAACATGAAAAGTGACTATTCTAAACAATATGCGCACATATACTCTGCTAGACTTGCCGAATTAAGGGATGTTCTAACACCGCGTGTTAAAGCTAAATGGGGTATGTTTATTAATTTTTCTTATATTACAAGGTTATGATCATATAATAAAAATATATATAAAAATCTTCTTATGGATAATATAATGCGTATAGTTTTCTTTCTCGCACAGGAAATGTTCCGATTGTCAAATTGGCCGATTTAGAAAATTTAGAAAACCAACAGTGCATAATAATTGGCACATTGTATAAACACCAACCATGGAAACCATCAATTTTAAGGGAACTTAGTGAAGAACATCAGTTTAATGTTTCCTGTTCTAAACCAAATTATTGCTCAGAGAAAGATCAACCATTTCTGGAAGATGAAATGTTGCGAATTAAATTAGTAGGCGAGCAAGTTGATTTAAAGCAAATTGTTACCGGAGTTGTTTGTGCTGTATTAGGCAATGAAAATAGTGATGGCACATTTATGGTAATTTTAATTCTAGAAAAGTATAATTATTGTTATATTTTTCTTATGTTTAACGTAACGGTGATAATTCTATTTAGGTAAAGGATTGGTGTTTTCCTGGATGTGCGCCAAAAGAATCTTTAAAAGAATGCATATCACAAAAGAAGCTGGTGATAGTATCTGGATTAAATTTATCTAATAATTGTGACAGTTTAGGGATCTCCCTTTTTATGGAATGGTTGTGTGGAATGGCTGGTAATGTAACAATACAAAAGGATAATACTTCTATTGTTCGACTCATTATAGCAGGTAAATCACATTCGCTATTATAAAAATTATATATAGTACTATAATTGTATAATACCTTATTGTCTTTATTAAGGTAATACCATAAAAAATAATGATACATCACAGGCTGCAACAGACATAGCTAAAGGACTTGGAGAAGCAATAAAATCTGTAGATACATTCTTAAGTAATTTAGCAACATGTTGTTCTATTACTTTAATGCCAGGAGAACATGATCCCACTAACGCTATGTTGCCTCAGAGACCATTTCATCCTTGTTTACTGCCTAAATCATCTAGGTTTGTATATATCGAATTGTATAAACAAGTAATTACTCCATTTTATTATGTACACACAAATTTATTCTATTTCAATAACATAGACTTGAAAGCTTTAAAAGTACCACAAATCCATGGATTAGTAAAATTGAGGGCCGAATAATAACTGGTACTAGTGGTCAATCAATTCGAGATATCATTAAAGTAGCAGGTGAAACTGGTATTTCAGCTCTTGAATGGCTAGAAAAGACCTTATTATGGAGACATGTGTGTCCAACTGCTCCAGACACACTACTAGCTTGCCCATACTACAAGAAAGATTTGTTTATTATGGAAACATGTCCAGATATATATTTCGTGGGAAATACGGACAAATTTGAAACGAAATTGTGGAAAGGTTTGTAAAATATTGTAGCAGAATAAAAGCTACGATTTTTACTAAAATAAAAAGCGATTAATAATTTAATTTTTAGGTGATGAAAATCAAATTGTTAGATTAATATCTGTTCCACGTTTTGATACGAGTCAGACTGCTGTAATAGTAAATTTAGAGAATTTAGATACCCAATATATTTCCTTTAGTAATATTTAAATGAACCTTAGTCTTTCAACTGTGAGGATATTAAGAATATTAACTGTGTATATTTTAATTCTGATTCAGCATAAATTTTATATGAACATATATGTAAGATTTTTCAAATAAAATTCAAATATTATTAAAAAATAACAAGATTGTGCAGAAACACACATTTATTTTAATCCTGTTTATTTTATATTCATGATGCGATAAATTAAATTTCATGTAACATTTTGATATAATTTGTGATATTAATCAACACATAAATAGTAAAAGTAAAACATTTTCTATCATTGCCTGTTTATTTTCATTCAAAATGTGATGTACAAAATCTAAGCGCATGACTTTTAAATATAGGTAGTACGTTTGACTAAATATAAAATATGTAATAAGAGAGAAATTACATATAATATCACAGATTATTAAAAAATTATGAAATCACAGTGACGTAAGATTTTGAACATGTAACTTAAACATGAATTCATGCTTTATAAATTATAAATAAGAACATAACAGTCAAAATACAGGGTACAATTGTTTCTTGATAACAAAATATTATACGTCATTTACTTTTAGTACTTCATTTCATTATAAAAACTAAAATTTAATAAATATATCAACCTTCTGTAGTTCTATCTTCTTACCTGTAGATAACACAAAATCACGTAAAATGCATAAATTAAATGTAAATGATCATATACGTGTCCTTTTAAAATTTAATAGGTAGACTGCTTTTGACTGTTATATGAGATGCAAAAATTATGAAATCACTTGAAGAAATGATAAACAACATAAGAGAAGTCAAGTATAGAAATATAACGATGTACACAATATAGACATATATACAATACATTATTATGTGTGTTCGTAGTAGTTGAATTTTTGTCGAATGGATGCAATTATTGTACAATGAACATCGCTTCGTCGTAACTAGAAAAAATATGCAACATCGAAAGATAATGCTACAGAACATTTTAGTTGGCACTTTTATTTAACGTAAGAATTTGATTATAATATAAATACACTTTTTTATTTTTGTCTTTTTTTTTTTAAATATAAAATCGTCTATTTCTGGTCATATGAGATTCTAACTGTTGAACGACTATGTCCTATATTATCGGTTATAACAATGAAAGAAAAATATAACAATATCCTTATCCTAAATAAAAGGATGATAGTCCCGTACAATTCTAATGCTTTGGCCGAGATAGCAATACTTAAAAAGCAATTATTAAGGTTTCCCATTAATTTAAGCAGAATGAAGTTATAAAATTTATATTTATAATACACTTTACAGATTCATAATACCATTAACTTAAGGTGCATGTTACATGACCGACAGGTATATATAACAATTGACAGGTAGCTTCTGCATATAGTAACGACGACGTAGACATACTGTATGTATTAAAGACTTTATCCTATCTTTTAGCCGTTGGACGTATTCGTTCCTTTTCAGTATCCCTATCGTCAGCTACTGTCCATTCAGGATCATTGGGATCCTCACCCTCTACGTCACAACAAGCTGATTCTGTCGAATCTGATTCTGGAGAATCCATTTCCCCATCCTAGAAACGAAATATTAACGTCTACCTAAATAGTTATGAAAAACTATTTTTTCCAACGGTTATTCTGCATATATTACAAAAACTATATTTAAATGTACAAGCTTGTAAGAGCTGAAAAAAACAATCAGCAGGCTAATTCGTCAAAATATTCTAATGCTTATAAAACTCATGTAAACGCAATGCAGTCTCTCTTAAATATTACTAAAATCTGAAATATGCGATAAAAATAAAATCAATTGTATTTAAAATAGGAAGCATCAAATGACACTGCTTACCAGGGATAGCCTCGAGGAGCCATGAAAGTTGGCTCAAAGTTTATATTAATAATCAGTACGAGCATTCAGATATTTCTTTCATAATAAAAAGTTCTGATAATTAACACTCAAATATTTAATACAAACACAGTGTACGTACATCGTCCGCTTTTTCTTCATCACGGGAACAAAGAGATGCTGAAGAAGCTTGCCAATGCCCATCTGGCATCACTTCCAGCATTTTGTCATACACTTCTTCGGATAATGGAAATATCCTTGGTTCGTACGGCAAAATCTAACGAAGAACAGTATACAATTTTTTTTAAGTATTCTGTTTTGTATTTAAAAACGTACTTTAATCAGATCAAAAAATAATACCTCATTTTCATCTTCATTTACCGAAGTACCAGTGTCGTCTTTCCCCACTCTTAACATAGGCGCAGTACGACGCCGTAAAGCATTTTGCAAAGCAGATGATCGATGCAAATTATCAGAGTTATGTTGATGTTCTGATTCTTGTACTTGTGGAGTTGCAGGAGGTGACGTAATTGGTGACATCATGTCTCCACCAAAATCACTTGCGTGTGGAGACATAGGATCTAACGATTGAGAAATAATTTATAAATTACCTGAACACGAGAAGATTAATTGTAGGTAATTTAAATTAACACGTTAACGCTGGTGCCGATATTCATGGTTTTCTCTGTGGGGTGGCGCCCGAATTCACTGTCTGCTTCGTAGGGCGGCGCTGAGTCACTAACCATTTTGTCAAATACATGTGTAACCCGTAGCCGCTCCTCGGGACGGACACGTGTGACCCGCTGATGGGACACGCCGGCGTCAACGTGTTAAGTAAATTATAATGTACAATTACCTGGTGTATTCGCACCACTATCTGCTCGACTATCTGTCCTACGATTATGTCGAATACGAGACTGATGTGGCATATTCATATACGTCATAAAACGTTTGTTTTCTTCTCGTTCGCTTCGTTCATGTCTTAAAGCTATAGTTTCGTCTGACATATCTTCGAACTAAAGATAATGTATAGATACATTTAATCTCACTGGTGTAAAAGTATTTAAAATTTTATACTTCTGTAATTAAATGTACTTACATCACTGTCTTGACTAGGCCTATGCATAACACCATTTTTAATATCCAACTTTGAAGGCTCTTCGCATAACCTCCACCTTGGAGAAAAAAAAAAAACATAATGTAACATTAATAACTACCCACTTGAGATACAAAAATGTATTCAATAAAATGTTACTTACTTTGGTGTTAATATTTCTTTGTATTGTAACTTTTCAAGCCTAGTTGAAGCAGCTACACTATATGGTATAACTATATTATCAATATCGTACGAATTTTGCCTCAATCGTCTGAAGCAGAAAAAATTTTAACAATTTTAATTATATGTTTAATGTATATTTTCTTAATAAATGTAATTAATAATACTGACCCATGAGAATTCTTTTCTTTAACTATGTTCTTCTCTGTAGTAGAAGCAATGGTGTGATGTAAAGGAGAAGGCACTGGAGATGAATGCTTACTAGAGCTGGAAAGTGCACTAATATCATCATCATCTTCAGTTGTCAGTTTCTGTACCCTCTTCCTACTTAAACCATGAACACTTCTATCATGACCAAGCCTGTTTCTTTTTCCTTTTAGCATCTTCTTCTTAATTCCTACATAAAGAATATCAACAAACAAAGATTAAAAAGACTAAAAAAGAATTCTTTACTACACGACTGTATGATGCAACATGTTACATACTTGCAGTAAGAATACTTGAGGATGATTTTTTTAACCGAGCTGCTGCATATTTTGCTCTGTGCCCTGGAAGTTTCTTATTTCTCCTTTCATTGGTATCTTTATCTTTTAAACGTGTGATCCGTAAATTTCCCCTTAACATTTTTTGTTGCCATTCCACTGTTTTCATAATAGCATCAAGATGAGTTCCCTGTGTGATTTCTGCACAGCAAAAGGTTACATAGATTAATGTAGATTCTCAAAAACCTTATGCTACACATCATAACAAATTATATCTTCTTATCAAGGTATGTACATATATAGAAATAATGTTTTACCATCAGGAAATGACAAAACAGGATGAAAGCTAGGATCCACAAGTGCAACCCTTTCTTGTACAGACATTTGTTCAATTGGTTCTTGCGGTTGCATCGGATCTAATCTTCCAGTGCATAAAGCACATGGTGGTAATACACGATCGCAGTTGCATCTTACAGTTGATGCTTTTGCAGCACGTTTTGAGACTTCATGTAACTTATCTAGTTGTAATAATTTCCTCTTCCTGTAAAAACTCCAGACAAACGGCCGAGTCCTACTAGCAGGTAATTCACCTTCTGGTGAATTATAACGCCCTGTAGAACCTGGTAAAACACCACTATACCCATTCACTGTTTCTGCATTATCAAGTATCACTAAACCCTTGTTAGCTCTAATATGCCGTTGCAATTCATTATGCTGTCTAATCCTATATTCCAAATCCGATATTTGTGCTTGCAGCCACGTCCATCTTGCTGCTACACCTGCACGATCTTGAGCATACCTCCATGCTGCCCGTTTTGATCTACAAGTATTATATAAAAACATAAGAAATAAATTAGTAAAGAAATACTAACCGACAAAGTAACAATCGATATTTTGTTTAAAAATATTTTATCAAGTAATTTATAGTAAGTACAGTTGTATGTATCGAAAATATTTGAAATGTTACTATAAATATTGAAATAACATATACCTATTGTTTTGTTTTTGTTTATTATCTATTTATTTCTACTACATTTAATAATTATCTTTAGTAATAATGTACATAAACTCGCCATACTAAGCGACATAATAGTCAAATAAAATTTATCTAAACCGGCCCAAAATATTGTTCGGTTTCCAGTTTTTTATAAACTCAAATACGTGTTAAAAACAAAGAAGTTTAAAAGAATACTAAGATAACAGTACTAAATTTTGCATTACAAAATTACTCTAGGAAATAAAATGTACAAAATTATTTTAAATTCACAGATTCCATTCTATTAAAACTATAGGGAAAATAGAATGGTCCCAAATCTAAACATGGATTTTTTTTTATAAAAGAAATTAAAACTTACATAGATATTCTTTGTTGATGTGGATTGTTAAATGACTGCATTTCATCACAACTTTCTCCGCCACTACTCGATGCAGTACAATCAGAGTCAAGATTAGATTCCACAATATGTAATTGCGAGGCTAAAGGTCCTGCCACACTTTCTACTTCTTCGCCTCTAACTTTAACTTGAGGTGTACCAAACACTGACTGACGGTTGCTATTATTACCAGAAGTACTACCCAAATTGTCACGCGATCCATCACCAAAATATCGGCAACACAATCGCTGACGATTCACACTATTGCTCTGGGCAACACACATTTTCTCAATTTTTTGCAAAAACGAACTCAAACTACTACTAATCTCAGGAAAGTTTTTAACATTAGACTTAGAACTGATATTAACCAATTCTTGAAAAAGATATTTTTTCACTCCATGATGAGCAAGCTCAAGAACTCCAGTGTTTTCTTCAGCAACATGCCTGCCTATTATTCTTGCTTGAAGCTTCCTCAGTCTTCTTAATAAAAATGCACATTTCCTTTCACTCTCGTGTTGTTTTTGGGCAACAATATCTTGCTGTAACTTTAAGGTGTTGACTTTCTGCTGGTCCACAGCATCAGCAATATTGCAAATACTCATAACATCAACATCAAGTAAATCTCTTTCAAAGGAAGGAAATCCTTCTTCAGGCATAGAAAACATTTCAACTCCATCCACAGTGCTTTGCACTGGTTCATTACTACCTGTAGATATATTTTCTGCATTTTCCACACCTTCAATAGATTTAATAACTTGTAAAATCTCCTCAACATTCTGTCCAATATCACCAACATTGCCCATGTTACATTGTTCATTATCCGCAGTTATATCTGTACCAAAGGCCATTATTTGATCCACATCCAGACTTTTATTATCTCCTACTGTTTCTGAGCCCACCAAAGGCAAATCTGCGCTTGATTTCAAAAAACCCATATTGTCCGCTTGATCACCCATAGATGGGTCGTTCATTATAGTATCAGTCACCTTTTTCCCTGGACTGCCCGTAATGTCCAGCTGTTCGCAGTCCTGTTTTATTAATGCCTTCTTTGTAATCAAGTCAGATCCGTGCGTAAATGTAGACAAACTATCAAGATCATTGGCATATTTCGAGTTGATGACATCACGAATGAGGTCTTTGGATATACCATGTAAGCACTGTTCATCAATCTTTGATGGTTGGACGTTTGCAGAAACAACAAATTTCGCCAGAATTTCACGATTCTGGCACAACTGTGTAGCCTGCTCTGGGGAAAGAAATCCACCAGCTGGAAGGGAAGGGAGCAAATTTTCAGGCTTTTGAGGACCACCTTCCGTCAGAGCAGGGGCCATCACTGCCACTGACACTGCCAGTGCTGCGGCCTCGACATCCAGAGGCTCCCACGTGCGTACGCACCCACACCTACACTTCACATGTGCTGTTCTCACTCCCATTCATCCATTACTGATTTATTGTCCTGCACTTGTATTAACTATTGTTATGCTTTGGAATAATTTCTTTCTTCCGTTTTATTTTCCTTTTGAACCTTGTATTCTATCTTCATTCATTCCACATTTAATATTATGTTGTTTCAACAGTAATCTCCATCCTGTGTAATTTCTTCATTTCTGTGTTTCATTTGCGTGTTGCGGACCAACTCATAACCTTAATCTGCAAATAAATATACAAAAATAAATATTTATAAGATTGTATATATTATTATTTAGATTAAGATTATACATACATATATATATATATATATATATATATATATATATATATATATATATATATGTAACAATTACTTTGGCTCTCCGTTATTAACATGAAGATACTCATTATAATACATCTAAGGAAGTATATTTACAAGAATTAAGACTAAATTTACTTAAATGCAAATGGCATACATTGAATAAATTAATAGTATACATAACAAATGTATTTGTATCTAACAAAATACTACGTTATTATATAAATCGCAAATTACACTATTTAATTTCCTTTTCAGCATTCATATGTTCATAAGGTACAAGCTGGCTGTCATTTACCAAACGTTTAATAAAAAACATCAAATAAAAAATGCATAAATAAACAAGTCATTAGTAGTTAGTATCACGAATACCTCAAAATAGAAGCAATTTTAATGCATAATTAATTAGTATATGTACTAGTGATCAGCATCACGTGAAACAATTTTTATTTCGAAATATCGAAAGCGAGAGGGAAAGGCCACCGATACTTAATTTAATAAAGAAGCAAGTAAAGCATACAAATTCCGCTTACCTTGTACTCTTCGCTCGCAGAATAGGAAGGAAGCCCGTTGAAAATCGCAGATTCTTCAAACCGATACTCCTCGGTGTGGCAACATCCAAACACGCGGAGTAAGCGAAGAGGAACGTCAGAAAAGCAAGATCGTTCTTCCCACGAAGATATATGTTCCAATATATGTCGGATCACAGTATTCGAGCGGTGAACTTCGAACGTAGAGTAAGCTGAGACGGTAAGCGGCTGCCGGCGAATAACGATATCAACGCGTTATTAAGAAATTGGAATGCGATGAAACAAAACGCTGCTACGCGTTTGTGAAAGAAAGTCCCGAACACTGTGTTGTTTGACGAAATAACGAAGGACAGAACGTTGAATAGAAGTGATTAAGGAGGTAGGAAGGAAGCTTAATCGAAGGTAGAAATTTCCGGTCAGCACTATGATACGGAGTGTTGCACATAATTACACTAGATATCACTACCAAGTATACATGTCGTGGAGATTAATAACAGATATGCTTGCATCGTTTGACGCATTCCCACGTGATTACTCGTCGCGAAATATAGAAAACAACAGCAGTAGTAGTAGTAGTAGTAGTAGTAGTAGCAGCAATAGTAGCAGCAGCAGCAGCAACAGTAGCAGCAGCAGCAGCAGCAGCAGCAGCAGCAGCAGCAGCAGCAGC